TGTCAATCACCAGAGGGGGACCTGATGGAGAACTGCAGGTCCCCCTCTGCTGATTGACAGCAGCAGTGGGCGGGTGCAATAGCTAGTTTGCTATTGGCTATTGCAAATTGAAATGGCCAATAGGAATCTAGCTATGCATTCCTATGGAGATTTTTTTATTTTTTTATTCTGACGAGCAGTGTGAACCTTTCTGGGAGAAAGTGTTTCTCTCCTGGGCGGCCGGGGGTCGTATTAGACTAGCAGAGCGTCCGGGAGAGTAATGACAGAGAGCATTCCAGTTACCAGGTAACCAGGAACGCCATCTGTCATTACACACTGAGAACACGGAGAGGCCGCTCTGTGTGTAATGACAGCATGCTGATCTCTCTGAAAGTGGCTGCAGCCAGCCGCGAGATGGCAGCTGGCTCTGCCCAGCAGTCTGTCGGCCGGACAATGGCCAGATGTTCGGCCAGCTTCGCCTTTCACTTGGCTCAGTCGAGTCGATGCATATGCCTCGACTGAGCCGCTCGGCCGACTTCGGGAGCTGTACGGGCTATAGTGAATAGCCCGTACAGCTGGTCCTGGGGCCGAAGCTACGGCTAGATCCTTCGGCAGCTTAGTGAATAGACCACTATATGTTACCGCAATGGATAGGTATAAAAGGGCCCTAAAGCATTAGATATTAAATATGAAAGTAAAATTGATCCCAAATCATACAGTTTCCCTTTAACACACTTATATTCCTTTAATTCATGTTAATAATATGTTAATAATAAAAATAATAATATATTTACAAGTTACATTAAGTTGATTCCGCTCACACATACAGCTAATACCAATAATAATAAAAAAGTATTAATTCTGTTAAAGACACCTGTCCAAAGCAAAGCTTCCTTTTTAATTCCCCGGCTGTGAATGGCACTGGGAATTTTAGTTGAAGACCCTTCTGTTTGCAAATCATGAAAAGAACTGATGGCTCTTTGTTTAAAGTAGGTGCAGCTCCACAAGAAAAGAGTCTCATGGTGTAGCCTGCAGGCCATGGGAAGCCTTTCATAAGGGACTTCAGAGAGAAAAATGACATTCCTGAAAAACCATGTAAAAACCTCCATTGTCATTCACTGATCAATGCTACAAATTATCTGATGTATGGCAGTTTTTAAAGGGATGCTCCCTTCTATAACTAGGGTAGAATGCCAAGAGCCCATTGTTTAGGAAAATGTTACATTTCATGCATGGTTTTCTTTTTGTATTTGATTGACGCAGTAGCTTCAAACTGCCTTACATGCAACATTCAATGCATTCATTCACCTAAACTGGTATTTCAACTGGTCACAGATGTTGATGGGTCAAATTACCTACTGCTTGTTATTATGTTGCAAAAAATTACGGTGGCAAGATATCATGCAATGGTCTTCCCATTACTGTCCTACTATGAAGTATCGCTCTTCCTGTGGCAGCATGGCAGCAAAATAATTTCTCTTTAAAAATGACCTGTCACTAACTTAAATAATGCAGGTGGAAGCAAAATCAAGTATTTTCAAATGCTTACTTGCAGTATTTTCCATTTCTAGAAATGATTCATTATTCACTTGCAATGCACCTTTGAGCTTGCAACAAAAATGTGACTACTTCAATAAGAGTCAGTTCCTTAGCACAGCTCTCTTCCTCCATGCATAGGGCTCTCCTCTTCTGGAAATGTCTTATTTGTTTCTGTGCTGACCCAGCTCACATGCCCACCTTAACCTCCCAACATAACCTTTTATGTAGCTGCTGGGGGAGGAGGGAAAGGAAAATACTATACAGTGTTACTTGAGTGACAGCTCTGGGTTTGCTAAGGCTGCTGACATCACATCCAAGGTGGTGGCATCCAGCAGCAGTCTCAGGGCTTTTGAATGTCTTCACATCGGAAGCTTTAACAGGTAAATAACATCATTAAGATAAGTCAATATCCATATTATGGGAAGATTTTTATTAATAAGAATGGTCTGAAAACAGGGTCTCTTTATTGACCCTTTTAAGTGGGTAGAACTGGGAAATTAGGAGGCTTCCCAAGGGAGTGAGAAGATGCCAAGTGTGGGTTCAATCTACATTTATCCACTGAAATAGATAGATAGATAGATAGATAGATAGATAGATAGATAGATAGATAGATAGATATGTTGAAAATACAACAGCCTATGCTGATATACACTGATTTGTATTGCTGACATTCAGAGATATAATATTGTCTTTTGAGCACTACATGGCGCTGTGGTACAAAGCTAGTCTGTATGATATTTGTCTATGTGCATACTTGTCTGTGATACAACAGAGGTAGTTATTAGTGATGAGCCGAACACCCCCGTGTTCGGTTCTAACTCGAAC